GGGGGGTAAAGTGCACATAATACTTTGTACAAGTACATGATTGGAACATTGTTACTAGATCAACAGGGATTCTAGATAAATATCAGTCATGGAGAGAACTAACCCCTTTATAGTTGCAAAGGCCTTTTTCTTTTATCTTGACTTGGAACAATATTATATTAAATTTCTCAAACAACTAGCATGCCAAAGATGATATTACACTTTATACTAGTGTCTTTATTCACTGGTAATCCTTCCCAAAACCCCATCAATACAGACTGACCCCACCAATTGAATGTGTGTGAATAATTACATAGTTATTTATAATCAAATAAAATAATTCCAATACATTAATATTAGTTATTGATATTTATGGAATAATTATGGGTTTTTTTAACACCAAAATTATCTAATAGACCCATTTCAGCAGTTTGGAATGCAGCTCAATCTAGAGGACAAAACAATAGGTTCCCATTCTCGGGAGATTGTAATTCTTTTGTTTTGTCATCCAATGTGAGCTCCTTTGACGTCACATTCGAGGGGTCTCGTAATCTTGACTTCATCATGTATTCTGATTATTTTCAAACCCTTTCTAGGTGGTCTCATGGCCGTCATTTTCACTGATGTGCTACAATGTGCCATCATGATCATCGGGGCTATCGTGCTGGCCATATTGAGTAAGTACAAGATTCCATTCAAGAATTTCGTGAACCGTTTATGCAAAGAAGTGGAACTGTTTATAGCCGATGTTTATGGTTTCAATTCGTCTTGGATTACTTTTTTTTTTACTTCTTACCTTTATCTTGGTTGTAATTTAATTGTAGACTTGTAAGAACAGTTTCATTTGTAAGCTAAAATACCATTTTCAAGGGAATTACTGAGTGCTAGAAGTGTAGCTATTCTGGACTGTAGAGAAGCCATTTTCAATTGAAACCACAGGTAACCCAGAGCTTTGAGTTATCTGAAGTATTGACAGAGTAAACCCAAGGATTTAAAACATTTAGTCTAGGGGAGGGGGGCTCTCGTTTTGCCAAGTTAACGGCTGCAGAATGTGAAAGGAAACACAATCACGATGCAAACGTAGAGCGCCATCAGCATTTTGATTGCATTAAAAAGAGAATGCATACCGTGTCGACGTCCCAGAATACCCCTCGGTCTTAGCTTTGTTAAAACCCGACGTTTTTTCAATTCGAGTTCGATGTACTGTAGTATCTTGTGGCTTGTACTAACGCGTTTTTTCATGTTTTAACTACAGGCTTCATCAAAGTCGGCGGATACGATGGCCTGTGGAGCAAATACGGATCAGCCATAGGCAAACCATACATCCCGCCTGTTGCTGCAAACTCAACATTGCTCAACGCATCCTATGCAATGATGAATACGACCAACAGCACGACAAGCAGTTGCTACAAACTTACTCCATACTGGGGCAACATGTTCAGGCCTCTAGATGACCCTGATTACCCCTGGTTGGGACTGTGGACGACCCTACCCATTATGGGTGTATGGTATTGGTGTACTGATCAGGTAAGATCACGTGACGTGTATATGACGTCACAACTGAAAAGGATGCATTTTAATAATAGACTTCTAGCTTGGGCGTAATGTTTTTTAACGTTTCAGACCACGTGTCATTCCCTGGAGAATCATTTCTTTGTTGAAAGGTGGCGCATGAGAAAACACTTTCCTGCTAACAGAGCCGGCCTCCCTAGTTAGCGATTCTTTGCAGACAAAGTGGGAGAATATGTCAAAAATCGTCAACGTGGGAGACTCTGCTAGCACGTAAGACAATACACACTCAAGCAAAGAATCTTATTCTCAGCAGAATGACACGTGGTGTGAAATGGGAAACTCATATTGACTTAGCGTCGCTAACCAATGGAGCCAATTACTTCCTAGGTCATTGTCCAACGTGCTCTCGGAGCCAAGAACAACACACATGCAAAAGCAGGATCCATCTTTGCTGGTCTCCTCAAGATTTTGCCCATATTCATCATGGTCATGCCTGGTATGATCAGCAGAGTTCTCTTCCCAGACTCCATCGGTTGCTCGGATAGTGCCAGCTGTCTACACTATTGTGGCAACAAATGGGGATGCACCAACAACGCATATCCAAAGTAAGTCCATCTATGAATGGCACAATCTCGTGCCCAGAGCCTGCGTTTCTTTTGGCCTGCGGCGAAGAACGAGGGCTCTGGCATAATCCATTTTTGGCGCATTTGCAGTTTTATTTTATTTTTGGCAAGTCTTTTAACGTATGCGCTCTTATACTGGCAGTCCAAGAAATCCTGGTCTCAAAAAGTGGATTATGCCAGAGCCCTCGTTCTTCGCCGCAGGCCAGAAGAAACGCAGGCTCTGGGTACGAGATTGTAAACGGCACTAAAGAAAAACGTTTGTGCATGCGTGTCCCCAACAGGTTTTCTAAAATTTTGAAAGAGTTTCAGTGAGAAAATAAATGTTCCTTTTCTTCGAGTATACAAGAGACCAAGCTACTGCATTAATAAAGACAAAATCAAATAAGTAGCCTTAATTTTAAGAACTGACATTAAGTTTTGGTATTTTGTAAAGTGTTCGTTCATCAGGCAAGTTTGAAAAATCAAATTTTCATATTTTTACAACAACATGAAGACGTTTTGATTAATAGACCCTTTCCCAAAATGGAGGCCGAATGAGTTAAAATTAAACTGAGTGAAAAACCAATACCAGCACTGAAAAGAACACCTTTATTTTAGTAACCCTACAAAGATTCATTATGTCAGGTGTTATATCGGCCTAGAAGACTTTAGTTAAAAATTGACAAATTTATAGACGTTCGTATGTCTGGTCATATAGCGTATACAGTCGTGACACGCAAGGCGAACGCCAGACCAATCACATTGCGAGAGTTTACTCCCCATCCAATCAAAATGACACTGAGCACATGCAGCAGAAACACGACGCGGACACGGTCACGGCACAGAATATGCATTGAATGTGTCAAGAACTTATAAAGTGTATTGCAAAATCTTTTAGATCTACGGTCTACTGAGGTCTGCTGAGCTTACTTATTTGTACTATTTCTTATAAAAATTTTCATGGATATATGGTATGCACTGAAATGGTGCTTTCTGGTGTTCTTATTATGCAACCCTTTTCTTTGATAAAACAGGCTGGTATTGAACGTGATGCCAACTGGTCTTGTTGGTCTGATGTTGGCTGTCATGATGTCTGCTCTTATGTCATCTTTGTCTTCAGCCTTCAACAGCAGTGCCACCATTTTTACCGTGGATGTCTGGCTGATTTTCAGGCCAAAGGTAAAGTGTCAAGAACTAGTTGTTCCGGCAATAGCCGTTGACATGTAACCCTGTGAAGATGTGTGCAACAGACCTCCTCGGCTCTGGTGCGCGCGAGCGTAATGTTGTCCCATTTCAGACCATGTGTCATTCCCTTGAGAATAGTTAATATTCTTTGTTTGAGTCGTATCCATATTCATGTGTCTTTTCACGTGCAACCTAGCGCAAACCTTAAACAAAGAAATGATACTCTAGAGAATGACACGTGGTCTGAAATCGGAAAACTTTACGTCAGAGCCGAGGAGGTCTATTACCGCTATTAAAAGAAAGGTTGAAGGTTTTATTTCATGTTGGATACCAAGCCAGGATTGCACTATGGGTGATTAATTAAGCAATATGGAAGATGCATCGTGCAAAATGCAATGAAACTTTCACCAACATTTTTTTTGAAATAGCTGTATATAAAGAAATCAGAGAGATTCGTACTGAGTAGTAGAGTCGAGAAGAAAGATGCTTAGAAAAGGATTTGTGTTATAGAATACTCCTAAATATCAAGATACAGAATTCAGAGCTGAATTTGGTGCGGGAGGGGGGGGATTAAAAGATTTGGTCGAAATCAGCAATAAATAATTAATTGCAATCCGTGTTACCGTATTCCAGGCAAAAGAAAGAGAAAAGCTTATTGTTGGGCGTATGGTTGTTCTTTTGTTGGTTGGAGTCAGTCTTGTGTGGCTGCCTATTATCCAAGGTAAGCTTAAAAATAACAAATATAGTCAGGCAAATATACCATTAATAGACCTTCTCGCTTCGGGCGTAATGTTTTCCCCTTTCAGACCACGTGTCATTCCCTAGAGTATTATTTCTTTGTTTAACGGGAACGCTCGGTTGCACATGAAAAGACACATGGATATGGATACAATTCAAACAAGAATAACATTCTCAGAGGAATGACACGTGGTCTGAAATGGAAAAACATTACGCCCGAGCCGAGAAGACTTATTTCGAAATCATTGTCCAGCTCAAACACATAGAACTGCGTAAAAGCTGAGACCAAAATGGCACATGGGAAGTGCGTTAATTATTGGAATATATACATAAACTGGATGCTTTTAACTCACGTTTTGTTACGACTGTGTATCTCAAATGAATAAGCTAAAATCTACAAAGCTTTGGCTGTTGTATCACAGCGTGGGACAATCACAACAGAGCTAGGCTACAAACTAAGTGAAAGAGATCGAATTAGAATTTAGAAGTGGATTTTTGAGGAGGGAGGAAAACCGGAGAACCCGGAGAAAAACCCTCAAAGCACAGGAGAGAACCAACAAACAACTCTACTCACATACGACATCGAGATCGCCAGGACTCGAACTCCAGTCGCATTGGTGAGAGGCGGCGCATTAGCAGCGCACGCCACCGGTGCTTCCCATATATCAGAGGAGAATCATTTCATTTCCCAGAATAACTTTCAGTCTTAGCTTCTATATTCTCTATTTGGAACTCGACAATGATTTTGCAATAGAGCGCTTTCACTCACTTGGGAGGGCAGCCATATTGGTGTATGAAACACTAGAATTTCTCTGCACAGTTTTTTGCATAAAAATAGAGTTCAATTCCCCAAGGATAGAAAATTTATTGCTTTTGTAACATCAGCATGGCCGCTGTGACGTCACGTGAAAACGCTCTAATGAACGTATAGAGAGAATCAAACAGAGCAAAGCACTTGAAGATTAACAAAACTCCCCTTACCCTACTCTCCATAGGTGCTCACGGCAGCCAGTTATTCGTGTACATACAGAAAATCCAGTCTTATCTTGCTCCACCAATCACGATGGTATTCGGACTAGGTATCCTGTGGCCTGGTCTGACCGAGGCTGGCGCTCTATCTGGTCTCTTGATTGGCTTCCTCATGGGAATGTTCAAGTTTATCTTTGGAAACGTCTACAGTCCTCCCGAATGTGGCCAGCCTGACAACCGACCAGGCTTTGTCAAGATGCATTTCATGTATTATGGTAAGAATATTACATATTTCTGTTTTCTCTCCTCTTGGAAATATGACATAAATGAATCTGAGGAATAGTCCCTTTTCTAATTCATTCGAAATACCGCTGTGTTTCATGACCTCTACACAGGCTTAGCCTCGCTTAATGAGAGCAATTTATTCAGTTTGCAAAAGTCAACTGTGACGAAAGGAATGTGTAGCTTGAACAATACCAATGTTTTGAAATCCCACGGACTTTTAAATGTTATCCGTGAATAGCTTACCTTTAAACGAGGCTAAAGCCTGTGCAAATGAGTCTGTGGTCTTCAAAAACAGCTATTTTGATAGATCCTTTTTCTCATCCATTGGCCGTATTTCTCTTCAGCTATCATCATTTTTGGCGTAAGCGGGTTTATCATGGCAGTCGTGAGCTTCTTCACCAAACCCGTCCCCAGAAACGAGCTGGGTGGCCTCACGTGGTCCACAATTAACGAACCACCTATTGCTTGTGGTGCTATTGGAGAAGAAGGCATAGAGCCTGACCCAGAACGTATAGCTAACGGTAAAGCTCGTCCCACGAACCCAGATGCCGTTCAGCTATTGGAAATGAAGGACGAGACCAAGGAGGAGACTAAGAACGGTAAGACTGCGTTTCTTCATTTTGATCTGCTAAGCATAAGTTTTGGGGATTTCTATCAAAGAAAGAGTACAATTTATTTATTCCTGATGTTGGAAATAGGAGTTTTCAAATATTTCCCAACAGAAAAGAACAAAACAACAACAGCGAGAACAACGATAACAAGTACGACAAAAACAACAACAACAGCAGCAACAACAACAACAATAGACCAATAGACTGTAAAGGGGAAAAACGTACAAAATTTATAAAGCATAGAATGACGGGGTTACGTTTTTAAATCATTTGAAGTCTTGGAGTTTCGACAAGTGCTCTAAATACCAGCAAATTCAAATGCTTTTTAGATGAGCTTGAGCCTCGGGGCAGCTTGCACAAGCTGGGTTGTGAGCATGGCGAGGCCCTAACTGGGCACTATTCCCGTGAAAAATCTAATTTCCAGTTCAGATGCTCAAGCGTGCTTACCGTTTAAACCAATCCACTGATTCAATAGGAAATTCATTCGCTAATTGTAAGAAAAGAGCGGGAAAGTTTGACTTTCGAAAAATGGTAATCGCGTCTACCGGGAGAACCCAAAAGAGCGGGAAAAGTGGATTACCTCAATCAGGAGACGGGGTTTTCTGTATTTTTCCGGTCGCAATGATGCATACCATTCGTTTTCCAACCGGAATTTCCGGTTTTTCTGGGTAATAGTAAGCACCCCTTAACTCCAAGTGGGTTTTACTAACATTGTGGACATTTGTGTTTGTATTTCACCAGATGAAAAGAAAGAAGTTGAGAAAAGCCCAGGACAGTTTACCAACGATGTGTACCTCGAGATTGTACACTTCAATGGAGAGAGCTTACTTGTGAAATGGGTCCTGAGGCTGACAAGCCTTCTCGTCTTGGCTACCCTTGCTTTCCTGTGGACGTTCTACCGCTAAGAATGTTCAGGGAAGAAAGAAACTAAAAGGTTTCGTTTCTTTTACCTTTACCATGTTAAGTTTGCTTCTATCTTACCCCAGTGGATCAGAGGTTTTTATTCTGGTATTCACAGGTCAGTCAAATAGGATATTCAAAGGAGTGCTGCAGGCCAAGTGTTACCGATAAAAGAAAAAAATATGACCTCTGATTATCTTGGGGATTCGGGGAATACACTTTCGGTTTTTCACTGTAAATACTCTGTAGGATAGTGAATGCACTTCCGGAAAACATTTACCATTTTAGTTATAAAAAACACTTTCACAGCTCGTCTAGCCTAAACTTTGTCACTTGTATTAGATCATTGTTTTGGTGTCAGTAGATCAGTCACAGTTTTTGGATATTTTACTTTTAAATACTACGAAAGAGAATTAAAAAAATCAGTGGGAACTCCAGTAATTAGTATAGCCAAATAAATAATTTAGCTTTAATAAGTCAAAACACCGCGTGTACAGTAATGCAGTTATTAGATAAAATATCATAAGAGTGGAAAGGCCTTGGCCTATTAGACTGAAGTAGCGTAAGAGTGAGCAAACGGGTGCATGCATAATAAGTCAATATTGTACTGGGATGTAACTGCATATGGACAATCTAGGATTTTTTTTTCGTTTATCCAAAGGGATATTTATTAAGGTGTGGTAAAAGTTATAGTTTGTGTGGTGTTGGAAAGGGTCGATGCACGAATTCAACAACGTACGACATACTCAGTCAGGAATATTGACTTCTCTCGTCAAAATTTAAAGAACGATATATTAGACTATACCAATTCAAATTTGAGAACATCAATTTGGTTCAAAGATTATATTTAAAGAAAGATATTTCAGTTGACTTTAGATTATAGCAATTCAAATTTAATCAATTGGGTTTTAAAATTAGATTCAAAGAAAGAGATTTCAGTAAACTTTAGAACTATAACTAATTCAAATTTGAGAAGATCAGTTTGGTAAGGCATAATTTATCGTAAAAGTGATGTTCAGTCATTGTATTCTTTACAGTGTCTGCCATCTATCATACTGTATACCAAAATGGTAACGTCGTGTTGGATGCAAATGTTTCCACCCCATATGTATATATTAAAACTTCTACAAATTCTCGAAACATTTAAAATACTATTTTAGAGTGTTTAAAATTCAAAATTTGTACTTTTGTTGAAGAAACAAATTGAGGACAATTTTATAAGGACCTTTAATACGACGTTTGCATGATGACGTCATTGACCTCTACTACCAGACTCCCTTGCACACTTTCTTTTGTTCAGTTAATTAGCACCAATTGTGTTAGTATTCTCATGAGGGAATGCAAATTTAAATAAGAAAGAAAATTCACGAACCATCTTGGGGTTGGGAGTCCAATGACGCCATCATGCAAACGTCCTATCGGTAGTTAAAAGAGATAGTTAAGATTCTAGTTGTGTCCTAATTTTCTATACCTTTTCTGACTATTTAATTGGAAAACTTGTACAAGATGATAAAAATCTTATTAATAATATATGAATTTCAAGGGTAAAGTTAAAACCAAATTTAGTTTTGTAAACTTGTCCGAGTTCTACTGAATGATTGTAATAAATGTCTAAAAGGGAAAATGTGTGCAGACATTGATAGACTATTATCACTTACGTACACTTACTTCAGAAAACGTTGGTCGAACAATTTAAATTAAAATCAAGTGCCACGCTGCAAATTGTCATATATATATATATATTCACRGCCGAATAACGAAGATTCCCTTTAGATTGGAACTAGACATTGGGTGCAAAATAATTCTTTTTGAGAAAAGCTATGGATATGGTCTAAATTTGGGTCATTCCCCCCCCCCCCCCCCCCCCTTTTCAAAAAAAAAAAAAAATTTTTTGGATAGAGGGGAGGGGGGTGGGGCAATACAAAGATATGGACTATTTAGTGCAGATGCGAAATAGGACTTTTTGGACCATTTTGGGAAGAAAAGAATGGACTATAGACCATGGTTTTGATCGATTTTGGGTCACTTTCACACTTTTTGAAAAGATATGAATTATTTAGGGCGTGTGATTGCAAAATACTTCATTTTGGGTCATTTTGGGGCGAAAAGCATGGACCTTTTGAAAAGATATGAATTATTTAGTGTGGATGCAAAATAGGTCATTTTGGGGCGAAAAGCATGGACTATAGCCCATGGTTTTGATTGATTTTGGGTCATTTTCACACCTTTTGAAAAGACATGAATTATTTAGTGTGGATGCAGAATAAGTAATTTTGATAGAAAATGCATGGACTATAGCCCAAGGTTTTGATCGATTTTGGGTCATTTTCACACCTTTTGTAAAGATATGAATTATTTAGTGTGGATGCAAAATAAGTCATTTATTTTGATAGAGAATGCATGGACTATAGCCCATGGTTTTGATCGATTTTGGGTCTTTTTCACACCTTTTGTAAAGATATGAATTATTTAGTGTAGATGCAAAATAGGTCATTTTGGGCCATTTTGGGACGAAAACATGGACTATAGTCAATAGTTTTGATCAATAGTTTGGGGTTTATTTATACATATTCTAAAAAGTTGGATAATGTTTTTTGTTGTTGAATGTTTAGTTATGTTTGAAGATTTTGGTTTATGTTTGATTACTTTGAAGAGTGTTGGAAGGTATTTATGATGTTGTAGGATGTTGGTAGAGTGTTGGTTGATGTTGTAGGATGTTTTAGGATGTTGGAAGATATTGTGGGATGTTGGTTGATGTTGGGTGATATTGGATGATGTAGGAGGAAGCTGGATGAATGTTAGATGATATTAGAAGAATTTTTGGGTTGATAATGGATATAAGGTTGGATAAACGTTGGAAGATGTTGGATGAATTTTGATGATGCTGAAGGTTGTTTGAGGATGTTGTATGATGTTGGATGATGTTAGTAGAGTTTGGGTTGAAGTTGGCTGATGTTGGTTAAACGTTGGAGGATGTTGGATGAATTTAGATGATGCTGAAGGTTGTTTGAGGATGTTGGATGATGTTGGATGATGTTAGAATAGTTAGGGTTGAAGGTGGCTGATGTTGGATAAACGTTGGAGGATGTTGGATGAGTGTTTTATGATGTTGGATGATGTTGAAGGATATATATTTCGTAAAGACGACATTTAATTTTTTCATGTGTTTGTTGAAATAATGACGTCTATTGATATTGACCGCTAACCAGAAGAGATTACAGTCGTTACCTATAAAAGAAAGACAAATATACGAAACTATACATTTTCCTTCATCTTTTTAACTTCTTCTTTCGTTCCCATTGCAAGATGGGATCGTGTCGTCGAAAAGTAGTTCTCTTTATCAAATTCTTATGAATTATTCATGTTGTTATTCATAGCTAACGTAATAGTACGATTCCTCTGATCAATCTCTTTATTGTCTATACTGATATCGTAAAATAAAAGTTAATATCCAAAATTTTAATAAAATGAGTTTCAACGACGATCAGTTTGTCTGTTTTTCTTCTAATATTTTTTTTTCTACAGTACGCCCTTGTCTTTAATAAAAAAGATACTTTTGAATAACACTTTTTAACTGATTAGGAGTCAAGCTTGCTCGTTTATACAAGGAGATGTTCTCGCCTCAAGATTCCTTTGACTGTAGTTTTCATAGCTTGAGGGATATCTTGCATGCGCCACAAGTACAGCAGAGGATTCACTATGGAGTTGAATCCTGTCACAAATTTCCTTATTTGTACTACTTTGTACGACGTCACTCAATTCGAACCTTGGTCATAACCTTTTCCATTTTTAAAAATAAAGTTAGCAGCCGACGCACAAAAATAAGGAAAGTATAGTAGCGACGCTGCAAACACAACGACCAACGTACACCGTATGAAGTGATATCTGGTATTGCGAAACATCAAAGTTTATAGTCCCATTATCGGATTGCTCACTGGACGATGATGATACAGAAGCCGTGAGCTTCTCCAGGGAGTAAAACGACATGGAATAGCAAACGATTATGGCTGTGAGAAACATTAAAAGAAAACATGGGGCCGCATTTTGTTCAACATAAGGAATATCACTTATTATATATTACTTGACTATGTATCCATATTCATATTTCTTCTCATGTGCAACCTCAATCAAGAATCTTTCAAAAGAATGACACGTGGTCTGAAATGGGGGAAAATTATGCCCCAGTTAAAACGTTTCATTTTCAAACCTTATATTGCAAACACGATATTCTGTGCATGGCAAAAGTATACGTAGAAGGGTCAAGAATTGCCAAAGCAATTAACAACTTCTCTATTATTTGTTTGCTATCGAAATGAATCGAAGTTTGGAATTATATTAGAAAATACGGCAAAACCAAAGGCACCCTAAACCGGATATTGATGGTATTGACACCTTTAAGAAGTCTGTTGCTAATTCAATAGTAAAATTCATTGACTGACGAGGGAATTCTATTAAGAAAACGATATATATGTTATGAGAGAGAAAATAATTGTTTGTACAGACTAAGCAAGACATCAGTTTTTCTAATAACTATTAATTATGTTATGAAAACAAGATAAAGCATGATCAATTAACTATATAAAAGTATCGATATGATATTGCAGTAAGGCTGCCATTACGCACAAGTTTAGATAATGGTATGCATTGAATTCACAAGTAAACCTCTTAGTTCCTCACCTCTACACCTCTGGTTACGCCCTATACGGTTTTCACCCCTTTGTTCGGTTATTTTAGCACTATTCTTTAGAGTCTTATGATAGAAATGTCGCTTGTAATCTTATCTATACATTTACGATATATTCATATATTAACTTTAGTTTTAGCTATTCCTCGTCATTAGGATATCGCACTTTTACTTATTCTTTTACCCAATCATGATTCAACGATATGATCACATTGATTAGAGACTGGCACCTGTCATAGAATTATCATAAATACAGCTCATGTAAACAGTTAAATACAGAGGGTAGAATAAAGATCCCGAAGCTCATACCGAGAGCTGTCGTCCCATAACATATATCTTACAAAAAAACAAAAAAAAAATCCTTCGTTAATGAAAAAAACTTGATCATTTACCTCAACAATGATTATGATGATGATAATGATAACATTTTGTATGACATAAAGTGAAATTTCATAGCGCTATGAAATGAGAGTGATGTTTTAAGCCGCACAAAGATTTACAACGATTGATGTATATCCTATATGATAATTACCTCGGAGCGCGCCTTAAAACCCAGTTATTTTATTAAAATCAGTTGGTTCTCATTTGAAACACTTGATAGTTTTAATTAAGAAGAAAAAAGAAAATAAGAAAGAAAGAAAGAAAATTTACCAAAAAAAAAAAAAAANAAAAAAAAAAAAAAGCATTTCAATGATACAAAGTTCAGTGTCTGTCCTTATGACATTTTAAAAAAAATTTTGCTCAGTCGAGATATTAGAGAGTAACTTTTGTGGTCTTATGTTTTCTGGCTATACGAAAATACGAAAAACCACATTTCTAACTCAAAAAGATCAAGCCTTTCTTATATGCTAATCGTAAAGGAAAATGTTGTTCATACTGGGAATTTATCAAGATTTGAAGCGTATTACTCGGTCTCAAATTTCAGACTTCAGATCTCCATCCGATAAAGGTTTCTTGATTGGTATGGTGCAGTCCAATCACTTGTGCTTGTCCACCATGCCCCGAGTGATTCTGATGTTTTCGTCTTAATATTCTTTTCACTGTACTTTTCACTGCTTGTCGAATATCTTGCATTCGCCACAAGTATAGCAAAGGATTCACTATAGAGTTCATTCCCACTATCAGCTCACCTACCAAAAGCATCTTGAACGATATCACCGAAAACGAATTTTGGTCGTAATGTTTTCCATTGTTGATACTGTGAGCAACAGACGCACAAAAATAGGGTAGATAGAATAGCAACGTTGCCAGAAGAACAAGTGACATCGTGTAAAGAGATCTGCGGTATTGCGAAACGTCAAAGTTTATGGTCCCATTCCCGGGTTCCTGATTAGACGATGACACAGAAGACGTGAGCTTCTTCAGTGAGTAGAACGACATGGAATAACAAACGATTATGGTTGTGAGAAACACGAAAAGAAAACATGGGACAATGATATTTTTTCCAAAAGCAAACATATTTGAAAGTAGTAAAGTGAAGAAAAGTGAAAGAGTTCCCACCCAGTAAGGAATAGTGACAACCATGACACGAGAAGATGTTACAAATGATCGATACCTGTTCTTTAGTCTAATGGCCAACAATCGATCAATGCTCATGAGTATCAAAATATAGATAGATACAGAAGACAGCCAGTACCCAATAACGTGACTGCAAGCAGCCATGTAACAATAAATCGAGGTCCACTCGTTTATGTAACTTAAATATGTAAAGACTGTAAATGGAACGCCAATCACTCCAAACAGAAAGTTTGTTAATGCAAGATTAGCGACTAGAAGATACGAAGGCTTGTGTAGATATGAATTCTTCCAGATGGAATACAGTATCAAAGAGTTCAAAGACACGGCTGTTAATAAGGTAATGGCGAATAACGAAACGATCGTTAAGCGGAAAGACTTCAGTTGAAGGTTGGGATAGTAATTCATGGAGAGGCAGCTATAGTTCATCTCCGGCGGTAAGTAAATATTCTCACGGTCCAAAAGTATAATCTTCACTTATCTTGAAATGATGGATTATTTCAAATTAACTCTTGGGCAGCTCTTCAACACAATTCCTTGTACTGGGACGCTGAAATACAATTTGTCCTAAGCAGTGCCAAATTGTTCAGTTGCTCTGACAGAATTAACCACTTTTTAAGAGCGCATTAACGGAATGAATTGAATCTTAGGGATTTTAAGTCCGAACGATACGAGAGTTCAATTTAAAAATGTGCAGTATTAATGATCCTTGAGCATCCCTTCAACGCAATTCCTTGTAGGACGCTGAACAGAGTTTGTCCCAAGCTTGGCTAATTGTTCAGTTGCTCTGACAGTAGCAGCTTTCATTAGACCACTTTTAACGGAATGAATGCCACAATCGGTTTAATCTTCAAGATTTTCAATCCGAACGATACGAAAATCAAGTGGTACAAAATGAGTAATGACCAGAAGAGCCAGGTCATACTTAATATCATTGGCAGATGGCTCCAATTCATGGTTCCGACTCAGACAATAGCGAGCCAATCACCGTTGCAGCAGTTTTCCCAGTGGAATTAAAGTCTTGTCCCACAAACAACTACACATTAACGGTTTTAAAGAGTACTACGAGGTTTACGAGGCAATTCTTTTCTTTTCTATTCGCAGGACATGAAACAATTGAAGCAATTTGTGATTAATTTTCCGCGAAGAGAGTTTTAAATTCTGACATTCTAGCCTAATTTGTTGAGCTTGTACGAGATAGCAACGGTAACTAAGGAGATTCGGAACTATAAAAAAAACGCTGCTCGGCTTTCTCTAATTTTGCAATTTACTACAATCTTATTAGAGACCTCATTCATTCTATGAATGTTTTTTACACAGTACAAGCGACGATAATTGGTGCCGATAATAAAATTACAATGCGTCCGCTCAAGTTTTCTGTCTTTTTATGATTAGGATTAGGGATATATTGTTTTCAGCACCTTGAGGTTATGAAGTTATGAAAAACTCTACGGATATGCGATATTATTGTTAACAATTGATTAGTCATAAGAGGAAATACAAGCAATGGGATTCTAGTTGAATTTATTCCGACAACATTTTCCTATTAGGAAAGCTAGCAGGACCTGTTCGTGGTTGTGTGTGGCAGCCATCTTTAATCTTTAATCATGTACTCTTAAAACAGTTAAAGAGCTATACTAAGAGTCATAGTCAATGGCAGATATATATACTGTGGTCATCTTCTGTTACTTCCAAAAAAAAACCAGTCCTCTTTAAGGTTTGTCCAGGTGTTACACAGTAACAAAGACGAGTACTATATTTTGAAAAACAACTTCTGATTTGCATAAAGAAATTAACTTATATATATTGTAATTTCTACTGCTTTAGCGAAGTGGTAGACGGCATGTCATTTAGTTTACTAAGTCCGACATCATACACAACGGTTGTGCACATAAGCTTGGACAATATAATATCAAGGTTGTCAACATATGATGGCGTTTAAACTGAGATCTTTGGTATTATACTTAATGGTCCCATAGTCTGTTTGCTGACCGGCTGGACGATGACACCGAAGACGTGATGACAACAACATATTTTTTGTACCAGCTAAATTTTTAAAATTACAAGATTAATAAGAATAATGAAATGAAAAAAAATTGGAGCTTCTTCGGGAATTAAAATAACATGCCAAACGATAATTCTCACTGAATAATTCATTAGCAGGGAGCACTGAGTACCAATTAACTTTGCTCACATGCTTTAGTACGTAACTTCGTTCGTAGCTTCGGAAGCCAAATTTTGCCCCAATTTCCTTGGTCTCCTAGACCTGATGCATGGCGGTGGTGATCATATAAAGCTCAATATAAAAAGTCTGGCAAAAAGAAAACTTAATCTTTAATATCGATAGCAACGTAATATGGCTGTTACTTTTGGCATACAAATTATATAAATGCTATAACTTAGTATATTATAACTTAGCATATGTATTTGAAACTTCTAGACCTCAACGCTTTCTTTCTGTACTCGCGATCACTGTGCATTAACTTAATTAAGGATATAGAGCTTAAAGAAAATGAAGGAAGAAAGGAAGGAATGGATGACTGGATGGATGTATAAGAGAAGAAATGGACGGACGGAAGAAAGAAAGAAAGGAAGGAAGGAAGGAAGGAAGGAAGGAAGGAAGGAAGGAAAGGAAAGGGTCATGTATTAGTATAGTAGGATACAATACTCGTTCAAATTGGATCAATATATTTTTAGAGGTGGTTTGCATAGTTTTGTATACTCATCGTTATCATTTTTTTCACACAGATAACTCAGCTCAAGATTGAGAACAATCCTTTTGCCAAGGGCTTCCGAGGAAACTGTAACAACACGAGTCATCACTTTGGAATGAAGAGGTTTGTGTTTCTCCATATCTACGTTTCTTTTATTTCATTTCTTTCTTTCTCAATATTTTAACCAGTTCCCGTGCATTCGGACCTCGTGCTCCTTCTTCGTTTTTATTTTAATTTTAATCGAGTTACTTTTAGATATCGATAAAGTTTCAGGGATTACCCTTAAACAAAGGGATAATACTCAAGACACGCGATCATAAATGCATTTTATCCATTTAGAAGTAGTCATTATTTGGAATTTTTTTTCCAGGAGAAATCAAGAAAACACAGACGACACGGGATCTCTTTCGCCCTCGTCTACAACAGGCAGCGTTGAACCCTGTAAACGTTTTCGATCCTCCCCACAGATCTCGGAATCCAATACCACCACCCCTCCCCCCTCACTATTCTCAGGTACAGTATTCCTCTACCTATTCATATTGCTCGGTATCAATCAGCTAAATAAATCTTATAAATCCCATAAATCTTATTACCAGCCTTAATTTAGCTGATAAGAATTCGTAAAAATTCCTCGAGAATCTATCCGGCCATGTTGTGTCATAATGGTTTAACTTGATGCTTATTGCTTTGTAGGAAGCCCTCTTGGTAGACTGATGATGTCACACAGACCCGACTCACACCAGTCACCTTGTGTCTCAGCTCCATTACAATCAACCTGCCGACAAAGACCATACTATGGCGACGACTCATCAGATATTTTTTCACAGCCACCAATCAACCTGACGTCAGCGTCTCCGTTTAACCTCTCGTCACAGTCTTATACGCATGCGCATGGAATGAACACCCCTATGACGTCACAGAATCCTTTTCCTCACCCACACATTCCACGACCGATTGTACATCCGGGATATTTTGGACATTCTCATCATAACGAGCATACCATTCATCACAAACCAGCTCACCTATCTACGCATGCGCACCAAAGTATGCCTGGATATCCAGAGAGCTTCCGAACGGACTTCAACCTGGGACGAAACAGCAGCGATTACAGTAAACCGCTGACCATATCTACTTCGTTTAATAATGGATTTCCTGGGAATTCTTCGAGTTATCCATTCCATTGAATTGAAATTAGAAAATATTGTCGTATTAATGATGAGTTCCTCACGACAGGAGTGAAGTTATCGGGAATATATTATAGAGACATTAATATTAATTTAGTGGTTGGGGTACGTTAAATAACGTTGTGTTCCTGTTGGATCGATACTGAACAATCTCATTAACATCTTCTGGTTACATAAATTGCTGGTTTTTAGAGCCGCTGTCTTGGTTGAATTTAGCAACCAACATGGCGGCCTCGTATTTCGTTATCTCGTTCTCTTGGGATGGATAACAAATCATTGGTGTAACGGTAAGATCTCCAGGAATTTATACAAAAGTTCGTTAATTCTCGGCGGACTACAAGAAGATATACTACAGAATTTAAATTTAAAAAAAGAGAGATATGGGTTGAAAGATATTTGGATAAATATATTATTGTTATACATAGAAAGACATCTAAATCATTTGGTATTTAAAACCATAGGTCAGCTTTTCTTGATTTATTTACGCTGATCAAGTAACGAACTCTGTGGTACTGAATTTGCACAAAATCGTATCCTAAAAAATATTCATTGTGAAAACTATTTAAAGTAGCGTTCGCCGCTATATCTTGAAAACTAGTAGCCTGGCCTTCGAAGCGCCTTGATGATTTTACATATCCATATATGGTAAACGAATCCTTATTTGGTATCTTAGCTTTATCATCCAATATGGCGGATGTCTGTTGCGTTTGRATCAAATGGAAGCTAGCTTTAATTCAAAATTTCTCAAATTCAAATATTTCAAATTCGTTGTCTTCGTTTTCTTACAACGTGACTATTTCGGAAACTGAGGAAATTTTATGGGCAAAAATAGCTGAAAAAATTTATCCAATACAATTTGGATGCTGAATTCAAAAGTAAAGGTCGAAAGAGGTAAACAAAAAATTATATGCTCATCATATGCAAATTTATATTTTATTTAAATGCTTTTTATGTGAAATTTAAGYTTATTTAAATGTTTTGGAATCAAATATAAACTGTAAAGTTATAAATAACAATTTTCACAGGTTTTGAATGGAAAATTACTTATTCATTCTTTTATGAAAGGTTTGTCTGCTCGAGATGGATATATTTTCTCCAGGGAAACCAATGTTCTGTAAAGTCAGAGATATTACATGTAATTTCTAAATCACTCGCACTTTGTTTGGCGGTGGCTTATTATAATATACAGATCAATACACTACGAATGAAGTATTTGTAAATATTATTTAAATTCAAGCTAAAAATGGATTAAAGCAACGTAACTGGTTTAATCGGTTTGATCAAATTCATCAGTTTTGACTCTTCTTTTTATTTTTGTCTCCATTTCTTTACTCTCTTTTCTCTTCAATTCCTTTCTCTTCTCTTCTCTTCTCTTCTCTTCTCTTCTCTTCTCTTCTCTTCTCTAAATTGCCTGCCTTACTATCCTGAACTAGACTAACCTCGGAAATGGTGTAAAAATATATTTAGTAAAACATTGTAAAACTCGTCCTAAATGATGTTGCGTTGTTCAATTCATGCGGCCTCTGGTATTCAAGATCCATAGTTCATTTAATAACTGAAGTAAATACAAGCCAAAAAACAAAACAAAACAAACCGCACAACATGTAAATAGCCCCTCCATAACTTTTTAGAAGAATGTGCCTTACACGTGCACCTTACCTTATCTTTTTTTTTCGACAAGCAAGTTCGAGGTTGTAACACCAACAATACAACAACAATCTGCACAAGCGAGAAGACCCACAGCTTCGACATCTTCAGTTTACTGTTTCAGCTTCGAGAAATACCAACTATTCTTGCTGCATGAAAGATAAAAATCTTAAATTTATAGACCGATAAAAATCCAATTTTAGAATAACTTGATAATATGAATCATTAAAATAAGTTTCCAACTGTGCTGGGATTGATACGCAAGTCGATGTCCAGTTCGAAACCAGCACGAATTTTAACTACTACCTTACCGAGTTGTGAAGAGATTAAATTGTTTTTTTTAAATAGAATTAGATAGATGTATTACAGGAATTAATTTAGAAATTGCTGAGAATACGAAGAACATTTAGTAAACTTGTTCAACAGCTAAAGAAGAGTCTTTTAAAGGCTCGTAGATACTTTACACTTAGAAAAATAAACTGTGAACTGAAGTCTTTTTTCTCTTTTTTGTGAATGAAATTAAATTCGAATTCTTCTTCTTTTTTT